GCCACCAATTCGGACGTACTGACATTAGAACTGTAACCGCCAATATTTGCCTTAGAGCTTCTTTCATCCCCACGCGTTTCTAGTGCATTTCGTTCTTTCCCGAACCTGATGATGAACCTGACTCCCTATCTCTTGATCTATGATCGTACCTGAAGTTATCCTGTTTTGATCGTGAGTCTCTTACTGGCGGTCCCATGTAAGGTTCGTACCTATTTTTACTGGACCTTTTTTCAGATTCAACCCGCCTTAAACTTATCTTTTCGTCCCTTTGAGATTGAATGATGGTATCCTCTTCTATCCGCAGCTTCGTGCTGTATCTGTTATAAACATCATTCCAAGCCGTAGATGGAAATTCACGTAGGCTTTCCTTAAGTCTCCTCGTGGCTTCTAAACTCTTTTCGTTTAGATTGCTAGCGAATGCCATCGCTGCCCAGTTATCAGGTACACGTGGCAACATCATCCTTTCACGCTGGAACCTGTCTACGAATTACCTGAGCAGCTCCGTATCTCCTTGCTTTATTTTAAAGATGTCCTCCATCCTTTTCTCAACTTTTTGAGCTCTCGAGTGTGCTTTGATGAATCTTCCATCACGAGATTCACTAGGAGTTCCTCCGCTGCCTGAGTTAATGAGTCCGGAGCGAGGATTTTCTAAGGTATTGTTGTTTGGAGTTGACGTTGGTGGCACAACTGGTAGCTGGTTAGCGAACGCCTCAAGAGCTTTGCTGACCTGTTGAGCGATTAACTTTTACACAGCTTCGTTGATAGCCTCATCATTTTCCAATTGATCATTTGCATTTGATTGAGATCCATCAGGAGTTCCTTCTCGAGATTGTCGAGGAGAACTTTGTGGGGAAGGGACCGGGGTTCCATCACCTTGCAGATTCTCTTGGAGTTGTCATTGACATTTGACATGATTGATTTGACAAAAAGGTTAATTTAGGAAGGAATAGATTATCAGATTCCCGGTAACAGAACTAATTTGTTTAACCAAAAATTAGGATTTCGGTCAAAGCTTTATTTAGAAGAACTCGGGTTACTGATAATCAAGTAGAAATAAGAATAATTGATGTAAATAATAATTGAATAGAAAGTAAAGTAAATTAGTATATTTCAATAGTATTTCGTGTCCTTACAAATGTTCAGTCCTCACCTTTTATAGCTATCTCTAAGTAATACGTTTTGTTTCTCTCATAATAGAGTCATTACGGATAATTAATGGTATTTAATGTAACGTTATAATTGGTAATCATAACTGATGCGACTTCTGATGCGACTTCTGAATATCAATAGGTTCAAGCACCTATCCTTTCCGACTTCCTTGTATCTCTGCCCGTACCTGCTGAAGCTCGTGCCTCTTCAACTATTTTTTGCCAACTGTCATTCTTTTACCAGTCCACGTGTCATGACATGTCAACTCATAATTAATTCTATACATGAACAAAATTTTTCCAAATGCATAAATAAATTTGGACCATTAATATGTAAAGAAGACAAGTGTTACAAATCTAAATAGGAACTTGGGGAACTTGAGAGAATGAGAAATGGAGGGGAATCAAATCCGAAATTTGCAACTCTCTCCGCCCCTGATCATCAGCGCATGCATGCAGACCAAGACATAAAACACTACTATTAATTCACCAGTCAATTTTTAGTGGTAGAGTCAGACGAAATTCTAATAAGAATATTAGAAAAATATAAAATTATAAGTTAGTGAATAACTAAATTATCAAAAAAATTCAAAAACTTATATATTAAAGAGTTTATTTTTATCCTTTGTATAATGTAATTTTTCGACGAAAGTGATTAACTTGAACCACTTTCAAGGCTTCAACACACTTAACTCTGCCCATTATAAATTGCATAATTTTTCTTATAAATCCATACAATATAAAGCTGAGAGAAATAGCCAACTTGTCTGTTTAGTGGAAGAACAATATTTTTTGAAATTTTTCTATAATATTTTCATGTTGGTTAGCTTAAATATTTACATAAATCTTTATTTAAAGCAACACTTTGATATACGGAAAGTAACTTTCATGACAAAGGTGGGGAAGTCATTTTCCAAACGTTTTTTGCACAATGTTCCTTTTACTTGTTCAATATAATCCTCCTCTATTCTCACTGAATTACCAGCAATTTATAAGAGAGATTCCCAGAAATGTACCCCAAACAAAAAATTATGACTCTTAGCCATAGAATAATATTGATTATTCTTAACCAATAAAAAGTTACCAATAATAGATAACAAAGACCCATGACAAAGAATTTTATTAGTGGTTGTGGTTCAAATTCATTGAAAATACATGGACAAAACTATATTATAAAATTTGAGAAAGATAGGAGGTAATTTGAACTAATTTGGAGTCAAAATATAGATAAATTCAAGTTGAAAAAATATCTCTACGCCACATGTATATAACAACTATATCCATGTATAACATATACAAATATACATGAATATATATAGATATATAAGAGATACACATGGGACTCCTTAAAATATTTCCACATATGTTGGCCAATTCTCTTTCGGTTCATGTTAGCAACTAACAAGTGCCAACCATGTGAGGTAGGAAAGGAAGGCCAACAGCTCGAGCAATGATGATAGAGAGGAACATGCAAGTAAGGTGTCGGCTCTGACGAGCGCAAAACACAATACGAAATTGATGCTCGCTAGCCAAAGATAGTATAGTTTAATTATCATCTCCACAAAGATTGAATTCAAATGATTTCAAGTAATTTCTAGCTTAACGCTATTCAGGATGATTAACACTTTGATTGGGATGATTAATAACTAAAGTTAACTATGAAATTAAAACACTTAACAATTGATCAGAGAAAGACAAAGGTTGAGCAACGCCGAAATATCAATGGGAGAAATAAGGGTCGTGACATGATAGGTACAAGATAGCTATTTGGGATCCAACTCTAGTTCAGTTCACTCTATTGTTCTAATGATTCTCATGAATTTACTCGATGATTAGTTCATACGTGTAGCAAAGACTGCTCTCTCTATTAAATCTTAACTCTACGAGGTGAACTAATGTAAGCACTGTGAAAAATATGCAAGCATGCGTTAATGGATTAGTCTTCAGAAAAACGTCTCTCTAATATTCTCCTAACGTGATTTAATCAACAATTCAACAAGCTCTTTCGATTACTGATCATTGAATTAAACCAAACAAAATAATGCAGAGATAATCACCAAATATTCCTCTTTCGATTAAATAAACCGGTGAATAAATTATAACAATTCAAGCTCTGTAAACAAATTCAAGAAAAGAGCTAGAGTTAACATCCACAAATATCAATCAAAACACCATATCCGTCAAACCGAAGGGAAACTGCTCCATAATCATGGAGAAAATTATCACAAATAAGGTTCAATAATAAGAAAACATGAATTCAAACGAAACTCGGGTGTTGAGTTGAAGATAGAATGATCAATCCTTGTGCTTTGAGTCTCTGATACTCTTCCAATCTTTCGTAGGTTGAAAGTCCCTTCAAAAATATTTTTTTTGTGTATTTCTACCATGTACGAGTGGGCTCAGACAAAACTACCCTTTCTAAGCCAAAACAGAAATATAGTCTGAGAAAATTGTAAAGGCGCGCCGCGCCCTGTGCTGTGCCATGCGCTGTGCTAGTGGGGAAGTTCAGAGAGCAGTTTCTGATGGACAGCAGCACAAAAGCACTGCCTTTTTGTGGCTGGTGGCTGTGCACTTTTAACAGAGTAAATTTGTTTCTTCAATTTTTTATATCCAGACTCGGTCCTAGACTCCCGAACGCAATCCCAGTTTAATTCCTTGGGCTTTTACTTAGACTTCAAAGCTCCAACTTGTTCTATTAGCTCCCAGTTATCTTTTTAACTCGGAATCACTTCTTGCAAGGCATAAATTACGTAATAAGTGCAATTCCCTGTTATTTTAGATCAAACACAAGTGGCCCAATTCTTTGAAAGTTCTGATTTTTGTCCAGCAAACTCATTTTTTTTCCAATTCCCTACAAGTGGCTCTCATAATTTTTCAAACAATGCACCTTTCTCCTTTATCTATAGTTCCACTCAAAAATCCGATCATACCTCAACTTAGCTTTTAACGAGCTCATAATAAATACAAGTGCTCAATAGAGGTAAAAGATTCAAATAGATAGTCAATTCAAATGCCTCTCACACACACATTGGCACACAGGGAAAGTTCTAGACATCAGCTGACATGCACAGAATATCAACAAATACCTCACACACACATTGTCACGTAACTCACTTAGGACCGGATCTATCCCGACTCTCTAGTCAAAGCAGTTAGGCAACATCAAACTCAAACAATTTCAGGCACTTATCCAAGAGTCAAGAACTGAGCCTAGGCGTCACGACTAAGCCACTCACTACTCTCAAGGCACAACAAAGTTAAGAACAGTTATCTCCATGTAACACCACGACACATGACTTCCCTATTCCTAACAAAAGAAAATTAACTACAAAAAGAAAATTAACTACAACCGGTTCAAGCAAAGCCCTTGGAAAAGAACCGCGGCGCAAAAAAAAAAATCAAGGGAGAATTGTTACACTTCCTAAGCAAAACAAAATATTTTTTTTTCGACTTTGATCCCTCAAGAAGACAGTCGAGGCAATCCATCGCCGGGAGAAGTCAAATTTATTTTTTTCAAACAAAAAAAAAAGAAAACAAACACACATGTACATATTTACATCCCCCACCTCACACTTCAAATTGTGTCTGTCCCCTATGACACATAAATAAAGGCTAGAGGTAAAGGGAACTTCCCCGAGTCATCTAGTCAGGGTCTAAATTGAAGTCGGATTATCTTTTGCACGCCCGACCCAGTGCACACATCCATGCCGAAAGTTTCTTTTCTGCCTTCTTTGGGTACACCCTACACTTATCATGCTTATTCTCTCCAGCTCGCTCTTTTAGGTCCCCTATTGCTCATTCTATCTTGAAGACCATCCTTTCTTCTCCCACTCTAAACATGAGTTGCCTTTTCTAAATGTCCAGAATACCTCTGCCAATAGCCAAGAAGGGTCTCCTTAAAATCAGAGAGACCTCCCTATTCTCTTCCATGTTCAACACAATGAAGTCCACAAGGAACACAAATTTATCCACGACATCTTCCACTTTTCCTTCAAGTATGATTGTGGTCTCATCCACCAGCTGCAAAGCCATAGTTGTCGATATGATTTCTCCAGTCTCTCTCTCCAATTTTCTAAAAATAGACAAAGTCACAAGATTAATAGAAGCACCCGAATCACACAAAGATTTCTCAAACGTAGTACTTCCTAAAGAGCAAGGTATAGTAAAACTCCCGGGATCTCCACACTTTTGAGGGAACTTATTTTGCAGAATGGCACTACAGTGCTCTGTGAGCTTGACAATCGATATCTCTTCCACTTTCCACTTATTGGACAATATCTCTTTCAAGAGCTTAGCATAAGCTGGCATCTAAGAGAGCACCTTCGCGAATGGTAGATTAACATGCACCTGCTTGAGTACATCTAGGAAACGCCCAAATTGTTTGTCCAACTTCTCTCTTCTCTGCTTCTGAGGGAAAGGTAAAGCATGTATATATTTACTCTCTTCAGTCTCCTCATTTATTGCACTCCCATCTTTCTTCTTCTTTTGAGCTCTAGTCTTCCCCTTCTTCTTCAGACCATCATCTACCATTACTTCACCTTCTTGAATGTTGCTATTTTTCTGCTCCTCCATAATCTCTACCCGTCCTTCAATCAACTCATCCTTTTGTGTTGCCGTGGGGTCCCTCACTACGTGCCCACTCCTCAAAGACACCACATTTATTGTCTCTTTTGGATTTCTTTCAGTATCAGCAGAGAGAGTTCCTAGAACCCTCTCAGACAATAGATTAGCAAGTTTCCCCACCTGTCTTTGCAAGATTCGAATGGTTGTGCCCTGTTCTCGGATAGCTGTGCCATGAGTTTCAAGCCTCTCATCTGTCTTAATAATAAAGGCCTTCATCAGATCTTCTATGCTTGACTAATTGGACCGTGGAGGCTGATATTACTGCCTCTACTGATTGAGAAGACTTGGAGCTCCCTGTCCCTGGGATCTGGAATTATTCTATTGCCATGAATTCGCACTACCACGTGTTTGAACTCCAAGAAAAACCAGGGTGCCTCTACCCCATGGAGTTAAAATTATTTCCACTTTGGTAGTTGCCTCTGTCAAAACTCCCCACAGCATATACTACTTCATCTTTAGTCAAGGCCTGACACTCATGCGCTGGATGACCCATTCCACAAAAATCACTAACTGAGGATAACTGGCTCTGGACCTTGGCTAAAGTTAACATTCTTATATCTCTGGCCATGGTGTCTAGATGTCTTGCACTGATGTGTTAGAATCCACTTGATGTACCTTGACCTTTTTCCTTCTCTCATTATCATCCACAGGCCATTAATTTGCATATTCAGATAATTCATTTAGAATTGCAACAATCTCCTTAGGATTCTTCTTCGTAAGAGGACCTCCAACTGCGTTGTTTAATGTCCTCCTGCCAGAGGGTGTCGGCCCATCCTAGAAATCTTGGAGTTACATCCTTAAGTCTACTCCATCATGCAGACATCTTCTCACAATATCCTTAAATCTTTCATATGCTTCAAACACCGTTTCTGTATCTTTTTGCTCGAAGTTGTGGATCTCTCTTCAAAGTTTCCCTATTTTTGCAGCTGAAATTTTTCAAGGAACTTCTTTGTCATGTCTTCCCAAGTTTGAATTGACCCAGTCAACAAACTCCGCAACCAGTGCTTAGCATCTTCCCTATGTGAAAAAGGAAAAGTCCTTAAGTAGATAGCATCTTTCGATACCCTGTTGTGCTGGAATGTATTCATAATCTCGTCAAAATCCATCAAATGAGTATTTGGATCTTCGTTGGGTTTGCCTCGAAAGACACAATTGTTCTGAATGGCCTAAATAGCCCTTGCTTGATCTCAAAATTATTCGTTGCGATCGGAGGACGTCGCACACTTGATACTCCTTGGTTGTAGACTGGCCTGGCGTAGTTTCCTAGTGATCGTCCAGGTTCGGCCATATTATTTTCAAATTCGTCTTCAACCAGAGGTCGGTTTAGGTTGAATCTCCATCCTCTATCCTTTTCAACTGTCTCATCAGCTCTGAGAGCTACCTCAACAGCTGCCCGTGCGGCTGCTTCCTATTGGACTGCTTCCTGTGCAGCCAAATCAACTACCTCCTCGCAGTTTTTAGCCATGTTCTCTTGGGTTGAAGATTGCCCAAGAGTTTTCCTGTGAGTTCTTTCTCTTTTCTCATCTATCGTAGATGCTTTTCCACCTCTGGATCATATGGAATAACTTCTTTTGAAGAAGACCGAGTCATACACATAGAACTTAGCATGTTGCCTGCACACAAAAGAGATAAACGGTGAAGAATAAAATAAAATTGATTCCTGAATTAGCACCAAAAACTAATTTGAACACTATTGATTTCCAATCCCTGGCAACGATGCCAAAATTTGACAAGCGCAAAACACAACACGAAATTGATGATCGCTAGCCAAAGATAGTATTGTTTAATTATCGTCTCCATAGAGACTAGATTTAAACAATGTTCAAGTAATTTCTAGCTTAACGTTATTAAGTATGATTAACACTTTGGTTGGAATGATTAATAACTAAAGTTATGAAATTAAAATAATTAACAATTGATCACAGAAAGACAAAGGTTGAGCAACACCGAAATATCAATAGGAGAAATAAGGGCCGTGATAGGATAGATACAAGATAGCTATTTGGGATCTAACTCTAGTTCAATTCACTCTATTATTCTAATGATTCTCACGAATTCACTCGATGATTAGTTCATACGTGTAGCCAGACTCCTCTCTTTGAAATCTTAACTCTACGAGGTGAACTAATATAAGCACCGTGAAAAATATGCAAGCATGTGTTAATGGATTAGTCTTCAGGAAAACGTCTCTCGAATATTCTCCTAACTTGATTTAATCAACAATTCAACAAGCTCTTTCGATTACATAAAAGAATCACTGAATTAAGCCAAACAAAATAATGCAACGACAATTACCAAAATATTCCTCTTTCGATTAAATTAACAGGTAAATAAAATTACAACAATTCAAGCTCCATAAACGAATTCAAGCAAAGAACTAGATTAAACATCCACAATTGTCAACCAAAATACCATATCCGTCAAGTCTTAAGGGAAACTACTCCATAATCATGGAGAAAATCAATACAAGTAAGGTTGAATAATAAGAAAACATGAATTCAATCCAAACTAAGGTGATGAGTTGAGGAAAGAATGATGTATCCTTGTGCTTTGGGTCTCTAATGCTCTTCTAATCTTCCGTAGGTCGAAAGTCCCTTCAAAAATATATTTTTGGTGTGTTTATACCATGTAGGAGTTGGCCCGAACTAAACTACCCTTTCCAAGCCGAAACAGGAAAATACTCTGAGAAAATTGTACAGGCACGTCGCGCCCCGGGCTGTGCCATACGGTGTGCTAGTGGGGAAGTTCAGAGAACAGTTTCTGATGGACAGTAGCACAAAAGCACTACCGTGCGGCCCCATGTGCCGCGGCTGTGCACTTTTACAGAGTAAATTTGTTTCTTCAATTTTTGATATCCAGACTCGGTCCGCGACCCCTAAACGCGATCCTAGTTTCATCCCTTGGGCTTTTACTCAGACTTCAAAGCTCCAACTTGTACTATTTAGCTCCCGATTACCTTTATAACTCGAAATCACTTCTTTCAAGGCATAAAACACGTAATAAGTGCGATTCCCTATTATTTAAGCTCAAACAGGAAAGACTACTCACTAAGGATAAGATGATTGGAATATGTTTGAGGCGCGATGACATTGAATGTTGATTGTGTGATGGTAACTGGCTTGAAGAATGAACACATTTATTCTATGAATATCCATGGACCAATGGGGTATGGGAGAGACTGCAAGACTGGATAGGTGTCAAACTTCAGCATCACAAGGTAGAAGAAGCTTTATAGAAAATCAAAGCGAAGCATTGGAGCACGTTCAATAAGGAGGTAATTACAGTTATATATGGTGTGATGGTATTCCAAATTTAGACTGCAAGAAACCACACATTTTTTCGAGGAAAGAGTGTACATAGCAATTTTGTGATACAACAGGTTCAAAGTATGATTAGAGAAAGAATAGACATGTATAGGAACTCAAATTAGCTCTCTTCATTAACTCAATATGTAACTAGCTCTCTCGAGGCTCACTAATATTTGGCACCCTTCCTAGAAAGTGGTTGAGTCTATGAGTGCTCGCTTAGGTGTATCGATTAAGATAAGCTGCAAATCAAAGCGAAGCAGTTTATTTTCAAGTGTTTAATTTTTTGTAAAATAGATTTGCGGATGTTCGATCTCAAACCACCACTGGAGTTAAAAAATTTCACGATCCAACAATTTTTAGCTCATCTTGGGGTCACGTTTGCAGTCATAGATCCTTTACCCAAGTAGTTTTAATCTTAGAATCTCAATTCGATTTTTTTTGTAGTAGTTATACGAGCAACACAAATCCAGTGGTATAGAACTTTAAGATTCTCATTTAAACCCACCAATCAGCAGCTAAAACATACAACTTAAGAATAACTTTTATACAATCTGCATACAATATTATTGTTACAACAATAACAACAACCCAGTGTAATCTTACTAGTGAGGTCTGGGGAGGATAGAGTGTACACAGACCTTATCCCTACATTCAAGAACGCAAATAGGTTGTTTTCGGTAGACCCTCGGCTCAGAAAAGGTAAAAGAAGGACAACAAGCATACCTATCGGAAAACCGAAGAAAAATACAAAACTAACAGCAAGTACTGTAATCAAAAAGCCGAAACGAAAGCAACAAGAAGTAATAACAGAAGCCAAGGGATACGACAATACACAGACAGGACAACGCTCAGCTACCTATTATAATCCTTTACCTTTATTCTCTATCTCCATAACTTCCTATCCATGGTCATGTCCTCAGTAAGCTGGAGCAACGCTATATCCTGCCTAATCACCTCTCCCCAATACTTCTTCGACCTACATATACCTCTCCTCAGGCCCTCCAGGGCCAACCTCTCGCACCTCCTCACCGTAGCATCTGTGCCTCTCCTCATCACATGCCCGAACCATCTAAGTCTCGCCTCCCGCATCTTATCCTCCATAGGGGCAATGCCTACCTTGTTTCGAATAACTTCACTTCTAATTCTATCTAATCTGGTATGCCCGCACATCCGTCTCAACATCCTCATTTCAGCTACCTTCATCTTATGGACATGAGAGTTCTTGACTAGCCAACACTCCGCCACATACAACATAGCCGGTCTGACCTGTGATGACCCTAAAGGTCATCCTGTATTCTAGAACCCAATTCGGGGTTCAAAGGCCTTCAAAACCTCATTTTATTTCTCCTCGATTTGCATGCGCAGTCCGGGCGCGTT